ATATTTTTAAGGCGAGGCGAATGCAAGCGGGTTGCATCTGATCCCTAAAGTTCGGCCAAATGTGAATGAGCTTACTTACCGTTGTTTATGAGTGGTAGTTTATAATGGTTTAAGTGCTACTAGTGATATTAGCATTGCCCCCATGTTAGCAATTCGTATTGTAAGTAAGCGTATGATTAGGGCATAGCTATACTATGTTTAACGTCGCAGGTGTCTACATAGTGTTCTGATTTTTTGAAAGATTTTGTTGATTTTATATGTGATATGTTTATATATGGGGTATCCCATGTAAGTTGGTTATCTAAGGTACAGACCTAGATATTTTATACTTTTTCTTGTTATTATTTATTGCGATTATATTAAGTTTAAAGTTTTGTATTGCCTTGTTGTTGTGTTTTGTGCATATGATAGTATCTATTTCCTTTGTTTTTTTGTAGTTAACTTGCATAGTCTGTTTGATTTTTAACCATGCATCTACTTTAGCTATCTCTTGGGATTAACCATTGTTTGAGATGGTGAGCGGCTTGTGTTTGTGGTGGCTGTATGTGTGCCTCGTGTGCGTCGCTGTTTGTGTAGAAGATCCCCGCACTTACCCGATTAGGCAATAAATTACGGTAAAAGACATCGTTACTACATTCATTTAGTTGCTTTATGCTAATATTAAATATTTAAAGCTGGCAACTGGAATGAAACTCTATAGTAGCATCGTAAATCTAAAATAATCCCTCTTCATCTTTACGCCTGAGTTGAACCGAGTTTCTGTTGACACGCTGATTCGGAACAGCACTTATCGGGGCCATGCCGCCCGTCATGCGCGACATCTGCTTTGTGTCATTGTGCTGGCTGTGTGTGTGTGGTGGTGTGTGACGTGCGTCGCGTGTGTGGTCGTGCACACAACGGCCTGTGTGTGTCTGTGTGTGTGCGCGGCGCGCGCGCGTGGTTGTGGGTGTGTATTGTATGTGTCGTGATGTGTGTGGGTGGGTGCTGTGTGTGTGTCGGTGTGGTTGTGTGTGGTGTGTGTGTTGTGCGTGCCTGTATATATATATGTCGTGTATGTGCTGTGTAGTGTGGTGTCGTGTATGTGCTGTGACTGTGTGCGACGGGGTGTTGTTTGTTATTGTGTGCGCGGCTCGTGTTTGTGTGCTGTTGTGGTGTGTGTGTGTGTCGCGCGCGCGCTGCCGTGTGTGCGCGCGTGCGTGCGTGGCCCTGGTGCCTGCGCGTGCGTGCGATGCGGCGCGCGGCCCGTGTGTGCTAAGTAAGTGTGTTGCAGTGTGCTTGCTAGTAAGTGCTGTAGTGCTGTATGCGCTGCGTTTGTGCGGGCGTCCCTGTCATGCACATTTGACCGTTTATGCACCGCGTTGCGTTTGCTGCTGTGTCCTGGTAGCACATTTGCTCCGCTTTAATATGCACGCGTAGCGTGCGGCATGCAAGCTAGTCTGCACTTTAACGTGGAATGCTCGCTCGCTGGAGGCCGCAGCGGACATTCCGTTTGCTGCTGCCGCAGCATTCCAAACGATTGTTCAACGACATAGTTTAATTCACGTGGGTCCTTATCACAGATATTGTACCGGCGCAATATTTGCGCGACGGTTATTCCCCCGATGAACTGTGATAGGTATAGATGCTTCAACAACGGGTAGGGGTAAAACCTACTAGTGAAGAATCTAAAACCAAAAAATACATGCGACAAAAATTAATGTTCGAAAATGGAAACATAATGCCTGTGGTAATCGCACGGCGGTTCAGCATCTTACGAATCGCTATCTCATAAACTTTTCGCCCCTTAAAATCATGCAAAGTCAAATAACATCATTTTTTTTTAAAATAAAGCTTATCGTATTTGACATTGCCAGCAGATGCCTCATAAGAATCCAGATGACTGCCCGTCAGAACCCTTACCAACTTGCTAACGACGACATCT